TCATTCAAAAAAATTTATTCAATGTATTATGCTTTAATTTATATTTCAAAAATAGCATGGTAATGTTTATATGCTGTATAAAAGTTACAAATATTGTGAGAGTTGAAAATATTGAACCTGTCAACTATTTATTTGAGTAGCCTATTCCATATTGGGTGGTACAGACTCGGATGACCTTAGACCTTAGTGGTTGTATTCTTACCACCCGGTCATATATCGAAAACATCAAACATTTGTATGAGGAATAAGATAATCTTCAATTATGCTACATATGATTTTTAATGATGTTCTAGAAAACTGACTAGATCATCAAATAGAGAAAACCCCAGGCTACTAAAACAACCTATTTTATTTTTTGTGTGACATAGTTTCTATTTTTTAGGTTTCCCAAAGATATTTCTCGTCGGTCTGTATGGATATCAAAATGCCGTAGGAAAAATTGGCAGCCTACACAATTTTCTTTGTTATGTTCGGACCATTTCAAGGAAAAGATTTGGATAGGACGGGACAGACAGTACGAGTACGGGTAGATGCATTTCCTTCCAGATTTAAAATGTTTCCAAAGCATTTTTGTAAGGTTAGTATAAGTACCTCAGTGAAATCAACTTGCTCTTCTGTGTCATTGCAGCCATAAAAATTTATTCATTGAGATTTTCTTTTCCCCTTTTTGACAATATTCCTCGACTAAATATAAATGACTAGAAAATCCGCTAGATGCTGCATCATAAGGCTGGCTTAATATTGCTCAAACACATGCACCTGCCCCGAAAGCTTACTGTTTACTCGTTTTGCACCTTGAAGTTTACACCAGTAGCCCATAATATTGCTATATATTCCTGCATTATTACCTAGCAGCCTTTGCCCTATTTTTAAAATCCTCTGAGCAGCTGTATGGTTTTACATTTTAGGTTACCTCTTCACGCAAGCCCCCAGCTTGTCGTACTTCACCTAACATTGGAGTGGATAGGCTAAACGAAGTTGGGACTTTTGAACAAAAATATATGTCATCCATCGTCCATGACCATTCTTACAACTGCAGTGCAAGTCCTCGTAAGTTTGTTGAAAAATTAGAAATAAAAACAGAACGACTGATGGCTGTTAGAAAAAAGCTCAAGGTATCCAAGCAAAAGTCCAAGCGACTGAAAGTAGCTGTTCAAAACATCACAACTGTTATAAAATCATTGAAAAGAAAAAATTTAATCACCACAAGCTGTGAGGAACTTTTGCTGCAGTCCTTCTCACCTATACCTTCGGCAATGTTTAAGCGAACCCTTGATGGACCCAGCCACAAAAAGTATCCCCCTGAATTGAAAGCATTTGCCTTTACTTTGCACTTTTTTTCTGCTAAGGCTTACCAATTCGTAAGGCAAACATTCAATCTAGCTTTACCTCATCCATGTCAAATTCGACGCTGGTATTCCAAAATTCCAGCCGAGCCAGGATTTACTGAGCTTCCATTTAATGCCTTGAAAGCTGAGGCTGCGCAGTCAAAAGAGAAAGTGGTTTGTTCAATCATGTTGGATGAAATGAGTGTACGAAAGGATATTTTTTGGGATGGACAGAAATACAGGGGACTTGTCGACATAGGCTCTGGAGCTGATCAAGATCTCTCAGCACCGGTCGCAAAAGAGGCTCTGGTTATTATGGCTGTGGCTGTAAATTCATTATGGAAAGTCCCTCTTGGCTATTTTATGATTGACGGGCTATCAGGCACTGAGAGAGCTAATATTGTTAAATCCTGTATAACAAAATTATCAGAGACTGGAGTATTGATAACATCTATTACATGTGATGGGCCTTCATGTCATTTCGCTATGCTGTCATCTCTGGGAGCCTCAATTAGTCCAACAAACATGCGCCCCTTTTTTCTTAATCCCTCAGATCAAGATCAGAAAATATACATAGTTCTTGATGTTTGTCATATGTTGAAGCTTGTTCGCAACACTTTTGCAGAGTTCGGTATTCTAAAAAATCACAATGGCCAGACCATATCTTGGAATTACATAAGGGCATTGGAAAAGCTGCAGCGTGAAGAAGGGTTCGGTTGGCAAACAAATTGAAACGTGACCACATATATTGGAAAGAACAAAAAATGAAAGTTAATATTGCTGCACAAACATTGAGTCAGGGGGTCGCAGATGCCTTGGAGTTTTGCAACCATCATCTGCATTTGCAGCAGTTTAGTGGTTGTGATGCAACTGTTGAATTCATAAGAAAATTTGACCATCTGTTCGACATTTTAAACTCTAGGAACCCACTTGGCAGGGGATACAAGACACCATTACGCATCAACAACAAGCATTCATGGTATTCTTTTCTTGACACATGCGCCCAGTATATTTTAAATCTAAAGACTAGCACTGGCACTCCAGTTCTATCTTCTAGGCGCAAAACTGGTTTTTTAGGATTCTTGGTATCAATTGCCAGCGTGAATATGATCTTTGAAGATTTCGTTGAAAGTGGCATTCTTCGTTACATTCTGACTTACAAAATGAGTCAAGATCATCTGGAGCTATTTTTTTGTGCAGTTCGATCTGCCGGTGGATTTAACAACAACCCTACTGCTCAACAGTTCACTGCTGCTTACAAGCGCATGTTAGTGAGAGGTGGTATTAAATGTACAGGAGGAAATTGTCAACCCTTGGATTATACGCGCATGCTCCACCTTCTCGAGAATAGCAGTGCCCATGAAGCAAATGTGAGTTTAACAACAGCTAGCATAATACGGAAATATGACATGGTTATGAGAGATCCAGCCCCTGTTGATCACGACTATGATGACAAGCCAAATATTATCATGCTCTCGGAATATAAGTACTCCGTAATTGCCTACATTGCTGGTTTTGTTGCTAAGTCTGTGAAAAATGTAACAAGCTGTAGTCAATGTGCAGATGTGCTGGTATCGGACACATATCCGGCTTCTAGTTTTTTGCAATTCAAGAACAGAGGGGGTTTGACAAAACCCTCTAATAGTGTTGTATACATCTGCCAAGAAACCGAGCGCTGCTTCCAGAGAATGTTATCTACAACAAATAGTGAAATTCCAAAACAAAGAGGATTGACGACTGCAATCTCATGCGCTGTGTTGGAGTCAATTAATACAAAAAGGTTATTCCCAAAACTTAGTGAACACATGACTGAATGTGCAATTGAAGATGATCATTTCTATGTCCTCATAAAAAAAATTATCAAAAAATACTGTGACCTAAGGCACCGCCATATTGGCAGAGAGAAGACTGCTGAAATCCATCAGTCCAGAATTAGAAGGCGCATGACCAAATTGGTGCTGCTGAAAAATCAGTAATCGACTAATTGGGAATAAACTTCATAAACAACCTTGTACATGCCCATTACATTCTATACACACACTCTTTCAATGCCATTTTTCATATTCATATTTTTTAATATGCCATTTTTGTTTAGTCCTCTTTGTACAATTGCCTTCAGTTTTTCATATTTTTAATATTTCATTTTTGTTTAGTCCACTTTGTACAATTGCCTACAGTTTTTCATATATTTAATATGCTTTATTTGTTTCGTCCACTTTGTACAATTACCTTCAGTTTTGCATATTGGCGGTTCAAGATTATATAATACTTTCAAACTTTCCTGATTGATTCACTAGGACGGATTTATGGATTTCATACTTGAATCTTCTTATTCTAATATTCTCTACAAAATTAGTTTCTTAGTTTCTTGCATACCCGGTATATCTCAGATAGAACGAGTGCTTGCATAATTTTTGTAAGTTTGAATTGCATTACAAATTTTACAAAAAAATAAACAAAATGCAAAAATGAAATGAATGTGCCTAGTGCTGTGTTGACACTAGTAGAAAAGCTGGTTAGTGGAAGGAACTGGAGACACTTCTGGAGAGACTTCAGGAGTAGGCAGCAGCAAATGACTTGATTCACTTCACACTTTCACCTAATAATTAAAATATTGAAGTTGGAAGTAAAATTGCTTACTGGTATTTCGCTTCTACATGGATGAACGTTGTATCTCTGGTAAGATATAACAGTTTCCAATTTGGGCTCGTTCATTGATTCGGACCTAGACTGGCATGGCATTAGGTACATGATAAACACCCCAAAATCGAGCAAAACCTAGTTAGCGAAACATCATACTGTCAAAAGCTATCGAGATATATTACGGTATTTCAACAATCTTGCAAAACCAGAACGTGGTTTTATATATTAGGTGTCATGGTATTACCACCAATATCTGTACCGATCACATATAAATTTTACTTGTATTTCACAAGCTAGACCAAATACGGTACCGTTGTTCAGGACAGTGATCATTTAGAACTATCCCACGCCAGACCCCTTGAGATGCCAGCGTTTTCTATTGATAATTTAAGATTTGATGTTGCCTAATTCTCTGGTTTGCCAGTTTGCTGGTTGAAATGCGTTAACCTTGAACTGAAAACTGACAGCGATGACCCAATCCAGTGAAACACACAGAACACAAGTTGTAGAAACGAAAACCAATGCAGCAATGTAATTTTCTTTGTAAAGATTGAAGATGGCAAACGGCAATGCAAAATTTAGATATCAGTTATTATAGCAAACGATTAACAACGTTCAGCGTACATAGAACAACAAAATCTGCAACAATATAAAATCATACAACTATAAAGTTTGTCTAATGAAACCCATATAAGCCAGAAACCCACAAAATTTAGCATTACTAACCCTAAACTGAGATAAGCGCACTTCACATCGAAAATCCTAGAAAGCAGCTGAGCAAAGCCCCGGATGTAGGACCATAATTCCAAGATCAAAATCAGTATGCCAAAATCAGTAGACCATAAAAAATGCGATATTAGGCTAGCGTGAACATAACCGGCCCCGGGAAATTATTTAAATTTCAGGGAAACTAAGAATCATTTACCAAACACAAGCAGCTAGCCCAAAACACTTGGCCCAAAAAACGGTGTAATTATACAATTAAGCTGAATAATAGTAAAATGAAGAAAATATAAATATCAAACAACATCATTCACTACCCTCAAGTAAGCACAGCCGTCTTACATCCCGCATAGCACTAGATGTAGCAGTTCTAATTTCGACCCTACGCACCATGCCATCACCATCCGGAAAAACTTTCTCAACAATGGCCTTAGGCCAAGAACCACGCGGTAAATTCTCATTATGAACAAGAACCAGATCAGCAACTTTCAGATTACGACCAAACAAGGTCCACTTCTTGCGAGACTGCAAGAGGGGCAAATACTCCTTGGTCCATCTTGACCAAAACATATCCAATAGACGTTGAACACTGCGCCAACAATCCCTATACTCGTCAGTTTTCAAAAATCGATCGGCAGGGAGGGAGGTGTCAAGACAACCATGCAAAATCGCACTGGGCGACAGGGCCGCAAAATCTCTACAATCATCGCTCAGTGGCGTGATTGGCCTATCATTCAAAATTCTCTCAACGCCTGTGAGAAATGAAATAAGGGAAAAATCTGTCAATGTTCGTCTTTCTACAAGAGCATACAAAATACGTTTAGTTAAATGAACCATCTTTTCCGTAACACCATTTTGCCAAGGGGCGGAAGGAGGACTATGTTCCCATTTAATTCCCTTCCGTGCCAATTCACCTTCAATACGGGTAGCATCCAAATTGTTCATGCCTTGAGCCAACACATTCTTTGCACCAATTAAATTTGAACCATTGTCACAATAAATAAGTGACGGAGTATTCCTACGATCAGAAAAACGAAACAAAGCATTCAAAAAGGATGGTGTATCCATCGACTCAACACACTCAATATGACAAGCTCGCGTGGCTAAACATGTAAAAATACAACCATAACGTTTCAACTCACGCCTACCGCATTTAACCTTGAGTGGACCAAACAAATCTACTGAACATTTATCAAAAGGAGTTCGACCAGGTTCAATCCTAAATTTAGGGAGAGGTGCCATCCATTGACTACTAAACTTTGCCGAACGTAACTTGCAAACCATACATTTGGCCAATATTCGCCGAACCTCAGACTGACCTCTGAGGATCCAAAACTTTTCTCTTAGAGCAGATAATGTATGCAAAGTACCACAATGACCCTCCCTGCAATGATACATATGTACAATCAACTCAGTGACATGATGACTTTGGGGCAGAATAATTGGGTACCTCTGACTGTAAAGCAAATTGGAATGCTTCAGTCGTCCACCAACTCGCCACACATGACAATTTTCATCAAAAAATGGATTCAACTTCAACAATAACTTCGAAGAATTACTCGTGGATGGTTTCAAATTGCTACTTGAAGGGGGAGAACTATCATTCACTCGGGAACCCAACTGCAACAAACTAGGCGAGATGGAATCCAACTGAACCAGACTCACCACATTATGCATAGCAAATTCCAACTCATCAACACTCAAGTTTCCCACAGGCGGTCTTGGACCACTGCGAAACTTCCATTTCATGTATGCTTTAAAACGGAGCAACCACCCAACACTTTGGCACAATTTTTCGAAACAAGAGAAGCGTTTGAGCAAATCAAAAACAGAGGCAAATTCATTAGAACTTGTAGAGACAAAATCAACTTTAACCTCAGAGGCAAAATTATCGTCACATTTCACAGAACAAGGTTTGGGCCAATGAGAGCGATCTAATTTCAAAAATTCTGGGCCGGCAAACCAAACAGACATTTTTGGTAGATGTTTGGGCATAACTCCTCGAGATAGAACATCCGCAGGATTCAATTCAGAGCTCACATGAAACCAAGATTCAACTTTAGACAATGAATGAATTAGGGCAATACGATTAGATACAAAAATTTTAAACCTTTCAGAGCGATTATTAATCATTTGCAAAACAGACATACTATCGGTCCAAAAATAGTAGGAACACATCTCATAGTCCAATTCTCTTTTGATGGACTGGGACAACTCAGCAGCAACGGCAGCTGACATCAATTCTAAGCGGACAACCGTGATAGGTCGCTTAGGTGTAATTCTTGATACACTTTTCACAAATGAAACATGAACAGAACCATTAGCATCTATGAAACGTAAATACGCAACCGCACCATAACCATCTTGAGAGGCATCACAAAAACAATGCAATTGTATATCAATTGGCGTAAAACCAGGTGGCTTGTAACATCTAGGGACTGAAACATCATTCAAGATTGGCAACTGTGAAACCCAATTCTCCCATCGAACCTTATGACTATGACAAATAGTATCATCCCATGAAAAATCCTCACTAGACAAATCTTGCAATATACGCTTAGCAGGCAAAACAAAAGGTGAGACTAGGCCAAGTGGATCAAAAATAGACGAAACAGCACTCAATATACCCCTACGAGTTGCTTGCTTTGGTTCAATATCCACACACACTTTCAGTTCATCCGGCCCCATATTCCATTTCACACCAAGGGCGTGGTGAACACCAGACCCATTCAAATCCAAACATTTCAGTGAGGGAGCAAGTTCCGAATTAGGAATTGATGAATTAACTTCACTTGAATTACTAGCAAATTTTGTCATATGAAACCCCTTTGTTTCAGTCAATTCACACAATTGATTAATCAAACTAATAGCTTTCTCAGACGACTCGCAACTTTTCAAAACATCATCAACATACATATTTCTCTCAAGTGTTTGAACAGTGTTAAAATCAGCACCACTCAAATTATCATCAGCAACCTTTCTCACAGCAAATGTAGCAACACAAGGACTAGACACACAACCAAAAAAATGAGACGACATTCTATACTCAAGGACAGGTTTTGTCATGTCACCATCCTCAAACCACAAAAAACGCATGGAATCACGGTCAATAGGGCTCACTTTAACTCGGTGGAACATATGCTTGATGTCACCAGTGAACGCAATGGGTTCTTGACGGAAACGCAACAAAAACACCCAATAGGCCATTATTCAAGTCGGGACCCGAAAGAAGGTTCTGGTTCAGAGAAGTGCCTTGGAAGACACTGCTACCATCAAAAACTATTCTAAATTTTCCCGATGTGATCACAGCATGATGGCAAATATAAAAAGTTCTATCAGTATGTGAAAAAGCATCAGGGCATAATTCGGCATAACCATTTTCAATATACTCATTCATTTTAGACCTATACATACAGAAAAAATCATTATCAGTTTCAAAACGACGTTTCAGAGACCTTAATCTGGTCTCTGCCATTCTTTTATTGTTGGGAAGTTTGACGTTGTCACTCTTCCACGGGAGTCCTATTTGCAAACGACCATCAACAGTGGTGGTCGTTTTTTCCATAATTTCAAGAGCTCTCTTGTCATTGACAGACAAACCAGTTAAACATGGGTCACAATTAATATCAGCAAATTCATGGGAACAAACTTTACACATTGGAGCACTGAAACTATAACAATCATTGACACCAGGATTGGAAATATGAAAAACACAATTAGCATTAGAAAATGAATCGCACACTTCTTCGGTTTCTGAGTTTCCATGCAGAATATCCGGACCAAACAGTGTCCAACCAAAAATTGTATGACATGCTGTAGGAGCATTGTCATCGCCTTGCAAATATTCTGTTGGTGGATATCTGGAAAGAACATCAGCACCGATCAAAATTATCAGCATTCAAGTTACAAAACTTCAAATTAGACAAATGTGGATATTTTGCAGTAATATCATTGCTTGGTAAAGAACCTCTTAAATCGGGAAGAGCGTCTAAAGCCAAAACATTATCCAATCTCACAACCGTTGATTCCCAAATTCCCTGTACTTTGAGGTTTACCCTGTGGCCAATATATTGCCTTGAGTCATTTATACCATTAATCAAACAAGATTCAGAAGAACCAGAAATATTCATTCTATCTAATAAAGACTTGGAACAAAATGAGCGAGTAGCTCCATGATCGAGAAAGGCATACACTTCAATTGATTTTTTCATGTCATTGAGAAATACCCTAACAGGTACAACTTGAAGTCTAACATAGCAAACATTTTTATTGACTGAAAGAGATGAAAAAATGCTATTACCGGCCCCATGTACTGTCGCAGGGACTGACTGATTATTTCTGTTCACATGACTAATATGGAGTAACGTATGATGACGAGCACCACATCCTTCAGCCCTGCATCTACTTTGCGAAGGGCAACTACCAACCATATGGTTGGGCTTTAGACAGTTATAGCATAAACGTTGAACGCGAGCAAAATTTCGACGAGACTCAACAGGCTCCACCATGAATTTTTCACATTTATATATGGAGTGATAGTCTTTACAAAACAAGCATTCTGGAAGAGTAGAGCTGGGAACGGCATCGGATGCTTCAGGTTGATCGTCAACGGATGACGAAACTGCAGTGTAAATTGCATCCCTTGTTCGATTCTTAGCAATTTTATCAGATACCCGAGCAGCATTTTTCATGTAAGACGCTACACAACAGTCAGATGTAATCCGAGCTACTCTGCAAGCAAAGTCTACCAAAGTAGCAAACGTTGACCTTTTTGAAGAAGCTAAGAGCTCCGCAAAATACATTCGTTGAAGATCTTCTGGCAAACGTGCAAAAATTCTAGTTAGAAATTCACTTAAATCCATTGCATTTGGCTTTTTCCATGCCTTTAAAACTGCAAGGCATGTTTTCAATTCAGAAGCATATTCCCGCAATGCAGACAGATCATTCATCTTTAGTACACGGCCCTCAGTTAAACTCTTACGATAAGCTTCAATAACTTGATCGTGACGACCAAATTCCTCTTTTAGGCCATTCAAAGCAGAATAATATGCAGTTTCGATATCTTCTTCATAAGTAAAACGCTTAATAACCCTTTTAGCGTCACCAATGCATGCAAGTTCTAATTGTTGAAATTTAGTGCGAAAATCGTATGCCTGGCCTTCTATCAAATTTTCGAAAGATTTCATGAATGAAAAATAGTTCAAAGGGTGGGTCACCATCAAATGATAATGGTTTAGCACGAGGAAGTGAAAAGCCTTGCTGCATCGCTTGAGTCAATTTGTATAGATGTTCAGAGAATTGCGTTTCAGCCTTACTCTTTGAATTGTCAACATTTTTGCATGGACTAACCGTTTGATTGGGTCTAGAAACATTTCCCAGAAAATGAACTTTTTCCTGAACTGACATTTCAGGTGATGTAGAATTGAATTCTTCAGGAAACCTATTCTTACATAATCTCTTTTTGACATTTGAGGAACCAACAGCCACAGGCCTCTGAGCATCTCCCAGAGCTGTATTGGCCAAGTCAACAGACTTCCACCCATCACTAGATTCCACATCAGCCATTTCCGCCATAAGAGCAGCTTCCTTACAATCTTGTTCAAGCCGAAATCTTTGCAATTCAGCAGCTTTTCTTCTCTCTGCTTCTAACAGCTCAGATTTTAGTTTCTCTTCCTGATCAAATTGCTCCAACTTAAGTTGAGCCATCTTTAGATTGTATTCTGCACGCACAGACTCATTAGAAATAACAGAATGAGCTGAACCAGTTGAGCCTGCATCGTCATGCTTAGCAACTGGTGTTCCAGAGGAGATCACATGTTGCATTTGCGGTGCAGAATCTTCAGCCATTGTTATATACGATATAGTTTTAAATTCTTTAGTTAAACTTGTACCTCGTTGTTAATTTAATGTTCAGGACAGTGATCATTTAGAACTATCCCACGCCAGACCCCTTGAGATGCCAGCGTTTTCTATTGATAATTTAAGATTTGATGTTGCCTAATTCTCTGGTTTGCCAGTTTGCTGGTTGAAATGCGTTAACCTTGAACTGAAAACTGACAGCGATGACCCAATCCAGTGAAACACACAGAACACAAGTTGTAGAAACGAAAACCAATGCAGCAATGTAATTTTCTTTGTAAAGATTGAAGATGGCAAACGGCAATGCAAAATTTAGATATCAGTTATTATAGCAAACGATTAACAACGTTCAGCGTACATAGAACAACAAAATCTGCAACAATATAAAATCATACAACTATAAAGTTTATCTAATGAAACCCATATAAGCCAGAAACCCACAAAATTTAGCATTACTAACCCTAAACTGAGATAAGCGCACTTCACATCGAAAATCCTAGAAAGCAGCTGAGCAAAGCCCCGGATGTAGGACCATAATTCCAAGATCAAAATCAGTATGCCAAAATCAGTAGACCATAAAAAATGCGATATTAGGCTAGCGTGAACAACCGTACCCACCTGTCTTCCAAAAATTGATCATTCAACCTCTATGCATACATCTTTTGTGTTATCCTTTTCCAAGTTAATGGCTAAACCACCAACAATAGCGTGGAAATCCATTACAACGCGCATAACGATGAATTTCCTCAAAATATCTTACATTTTGCACCGTTGACACGGCTAATCCAACCCACTCACCGCACCCGCAAGCAGAAAGTCGCACGTAGCAAGATGGCCGCCGCGACCTTCAATTCGGCACAAAATCGCAAACGTCTAGCGCCGCCAATGCGCACTCTAGTTATATACACCTCAATGGGCCTAACCCCATTTTATCTGTGGCCTGGTCCATTTTGAGTGGCCTGGCTCAAAAGCCACAAAAAGTTATCACCCCTGTTGCTTGAGGACGAGCAGAACTCAAGGACAAAGTTAAATTTTTATTTTTTTTTTGACAAATAAATTCCAATGGCAAACGGAATTTTCGTATAGAGATTTTAGTGTCGAATTAGTTGCCTCAGTTTTATAATCTCAAACACATTCCCCACAAGTTCAAATAAGGTAAGTAACAAATAAATAAGTGACGATTAAAATAAAATATTGAAAATACGTTAAACCATATTATCATACAGTCATCACCCAATTCGTGCACACATTTTATATTTATCATTAATTAATTAGGTAATTTTGCATGGAAATTAAAAAAATTAGACAGAAAATCAGAAGACAACCAAAGTGGGTTTTTGGCACATTTCTATTCATTAAAATTCAGACATTTAAATTTTTTCATATAATCTGCATTTAAGTTGGTGTTGCATAGAAAATGTCACATCATGATTGATCTAAGTATGAGATCATCCATGTGTTCATACAGTAACAAATCATCTCTTTCACTTGTTTTTAATAAATTTAAAATTCCTATCAGTTTACATTTGATTATTGACCGCATACTACTTTTACTTTTAACTATTGCATCATATTTTACTAAATTTCTATATTGTTTATTCTAAATTGTATATTGTTCCGCATATTGTTGTAATTAATTTAGATTTGCACTCCGAATAATTTGCTAAAATAGTATTCTGATTATTTTGTATGCCACACCATTGCTAAAAATCTATGGTTCACTCACACTCTAAAAATAAATGACATAAAGATTCCTCAGTATTATCTTCACACATTAAACATATACCTGGTTCATTAATGAACCAGTGTTTTATTTTATCCTCTGTTGGCAGTCCATTATGAATAACCTTCCAACACAACTCCTTATGCCTATTTCATATGTTGATTTTTCATATTTTGTTTCAATTAATGGACTTGGTTAGTTGAATCTTATTTTTAATATATTCATTGTGATTGGTCAAAAATGCATCGTTTTTTCTTTCTTTGCAAAAGCCAATTAATAAACTACTTCTCCTAAACGTACTCATTGTAATATTTTGTAATTGCGGACAAATTATTTTGAATAGGCTATCAAGCGTTTTGTCAAGTATATCACCAACTGTCATTATTTTTGCTTGGACACAGCTTAATATTGCAGTGAGTTCAGTTTTATTCCTATCTAAGATTAATGGATTGTGCCAAATAATTTCCTGTGATATTTCTGCATAGTTTTGTGGCTGATTCCATTCTAAGCTAACTTGTTTGAATGAGTTAATAATACTGGTATAAAATTTTAGAACATTGATATTAGTTTCGAATTTAAAATTCAAATGTAAACATTCTAAATTACCTTTTGACAACACTTCAAAATACTTATTCACATAAAATTTTGCTCTATTAGCCCAAGAACTCATATCCCCCTGAAGCAATTTGCAATGCTTTATTTTGATTCCTAACATTCATCATTTTTATACCCCTTTCATTTTGTTCACTACAACTGATATTCCTACTGATCATTTGCGCTTTTTCATTCCAAATAAATTTCCAAATAATTACTTCCAATTTCTGAATATATTTTTCTGGCATAAATTCGAAAGTGAACATGTACCATAATTTTGATAGTAGCAATGTTTTAGCTATAAGAACTCTTCCAACAATAGTTAGATTCCGCCCTTTCCAAAGATTTACAATTTTTTGTATTTTTGCCAAAATGTTCAACCAGTTAGTTTTTATCTCTAGACTTATGGGTATTTCCAATATATACCCCTAGTAATTTAATCTCCTCACGTTTTACAGTTATACCCTTATATGTTTCATTCAACTGCCAACTTCGAGCAGTTCCACATATCAGCAATGTACATTTGTTCTTATTTATTTTAGGACCAGTGCCACGTCGAAATAATCCCATTAATTTTAACACTGAATCTACAGATGACAATGACTCAAGGGTCAGTGTTATGTCATCTGCAAATCCTTTATAAACTTCTCTTTGATTTATGCAGTTCTTCAATCCAGTTATTTCTCTGTCCCTTTTTATATTTGATGATATTAATTCTGAAATAATATAACAATGGAAAAAGGGGACAGCCCTGCCCCACACGTCTTTGCATCCAAATTTTTTCTGTCAAATATCCATTCACATTTATTTTTGAAGAAGCATTTTTATTTTATATAGGGTGATTATCCAACCTCTTTGCATCCAAATTTTTTCTGTCAAATATCCATTCACATTTATTTTTGAAGAAGCATTTTTATTTTATATAGGGTGATTATCCAATTTATGAGTTTTTTTTCCAAATCCAGATTTTTTTCAATAATTTAACTAGTATATTTCTGTCTGTCCGCCAGCAACTTTTTTTTTTGTTGCCAAATTCAAATCCATTGCCAAATCGGATTTATACAAATGATAGTTTTGGTGTATCAAATATATATTTCAATATTATTGCATGAGGTCCAAATTTTATTTTTGTGATGTAATTTAGGTGATTTCATACAATGAATAAGTATACAATGAAAAGATGTAGTTTGTTTGCAACATATATATTATGATCATTAGTTTGGTTATCCAATTGGTTTGATTTTAAGCGTTTATAAATATTTTTGGTTGTTTATTCTTCTGAAACCATATACAATCAATTTCGGTTCTTGCTGGAGATGTATTTTGATTCTGGGCTAGAATTTCTTTCCAATTTGTTGGAATGTATCGCCAAATGTTGCGTATTTCGAAGTTGCATTTTCTATTCAATGCAATTTTCCTGGTCTATAGTAAATTTGATTCACGAGGTCTCCTGAATTTTGTTTCACAATTTGTCCTAAAGTTAAAACTTTGGCTTGAATCCATTTAATTTCTTTTTAGTTTTGTCTCCAAAGATAAAAATGAATTAAACCAGAGGCTTTCTAATTTTACTTCCTCTGGGGAATTTGGTTGACAGCGTGTGAGATTGAGTTCCTTGAATGCATTAATTAAGTTTAAATAAAATTGTGGTATGAGATTGTTTCTTGTTTTTTTAACGTCCAAATGCAAGCATTTCAAATTACCTCTGGAAATGAATGAGCAATAGTTATTTATATAAAATTTGTCCCGTTTACTCCAAGGTTTCTGTTCCCCTTTAAGTAATTTAATAATCCATTTCAATTGTATAGATTTTATCTGAGTGTTGATATCCATCATGTTTAATACCCCCATATTTATTTTTTCCTTAATGATTTTTTGAGCAATCAATTGTGGTTTTCCATTCCATAAAAAGTAGAAGAGGTTAGGTTGTAATTTTTTCATGAAACTTTCCGGCATAATTTCGAATCTAGCTAAATACCAAATTTTTGATAACATTAGTGCTTTTGTAACCGTAATTTTTCCTATTATAGAAAGATTTCGGGCCTTCCATATCGTTAAAGTTGTATCATCTGCATACCCTTTATAGACCTCAGTATCCCCACTACAATTCCTAAATCCTAAAATATTTCTATTAGATTTGATATTGTTTGCTAATAGCTCAGCTATAAACAGATATAAATATGGTGCTAAGGGGTTTGATCTTGTCCAATTAGTTCCGGCAATACATTTTTACTTATCGATCTTAAGATCGGTAAGTATATTGATAGGTATTTGTCTGTATGTATGTCTGTGTGTGTGTGTGTCTGTTAGATGAACCCGATATCTCGCGAATGCGAGGTTGAATCTGCTCCAAATTTTGCATGTGCATACATCATATCTCGGACCAGAAGCCTATTGATTTTGGGTTGATTATGTCGTATATTTAGCGAGTTATTAATTAATTAGTGATGGGACACACGGTGTCGCTAGAGGTTCAGAGAGAAGAAATCGAAAGGGATTGTTGCGTAACAATGCCCTGTCTGCGATGCTATCAAAGCCGCAGTTTCTGTTTTGGGAGATCCCCTTTTCCATACGATTGTGTGTGTGTGTGTGCGTAACACTGTTCTATCTGCGATGTTGAGCGTTTAAGTATTTCAGTTACACGCCGCTTCGACATCACTGATCTGGAACCATT